CTCTTGTCTGTAGATGGAGGTTATGATGGTGAACAAGTATGGTAAGTTTCAAAGCCATACTTGTAATACTTCTGAAATAAAGTGGGGTGGTACGAAAAACTTAACCAAGGTGTGACGCCAACGCCGACGCCGACGCCGGGGCGAGTAGGATAGCTCCCCTTTTCATAGAAAAGTCGAGCTAAAAATCAACCAATCAAATGGCAGAGCAGCAGACTGGTTTACAGTTTTATTTTTTTTTTTTTAAATAGGATCAAATGAGCAGTTTCTTTATGACTATACATTAGTAATTCTAACTAAAGGTATGAAAATATGGTCATTTGAAATAGCATTGCTGATAAAAAATATCTACATTTTTAAAGGCACAAGAATATTTGATGTAACTAGAATGAATACGGTTAACAAGTATTCTTGGGGTTTCGGCATTCATCATTCATGTCTAAAGCAGAAATATAGACATCTACATCCCTGTCTATAGTTATAGATGTAAACATAGTAATTAATGATTGATTGCAAAATAAGAAGTTCCCCCCCCCCAACTTATATTTATCATTTATGAATCTGGTTCCTGAAACTATTAAACCAATACATATAATGTCATAAAAGTAAATATGGTCATTCAATCCAATGATCCCTGTTCTGAGTAGAAACCATGGTTATGTTCCAGATATTTATTATAAATGGGCAACACACTTTCTTTTACATGCAAAACATATTTCATTCTGTATACTTTTACTTAAAATGATACCTTCTTAAACTGAGCAGAATGTCTTTTTAATAAAATGTTGAAATTCAGGAAAGGTAAAAATCATAATCTTGTACTTTCTACTCTTCCCCATCCCCCGCCCCTTTACAAAGGCTAAAGCTAAGCAATTACAGACTTATTCAAACAATTTAATGGAATTCTAAGCATTGTGTTTTTGGCACTTGTGAAAAGTTGCTGCCCCAATGTTGTAATTAATCATATTAAAAACGAAGCAAAATCAGTCTTATTTTCTTGCATAAAATGACGCAAATTTTGTCACCAAATTACTTCAAGGAATGCAGATTTTGCTGCCATTTCTTAGATTTTTTCAATTAATTCATAACTTGAATATGCAAACAAAAAATTACAAAAAAACAACATCAAAAAATATTCTTTAACATGATCAAAATGAAAGTACATCTTTTAAATTACTGAATCAATCAGATCTAAGAAAAAAATTCTCTGTACATAATCTGACCAAACAAACAAGAAATATTGGGTGAAAACACATTTTTGATCACTCTAATGCAATTATGAAAATAAAAATAATTTGTTAATCAAATACCATTTAACAGTTAACAAAAAAACAAAACAAAAAAAAAAATCAAAATAAATTCAACATTTTCAAACAGCCAAACTGTTCATGACCATAAAAATTATGCTCTGTATCAAAATAGTGTTTTCCAATAAACAGTCAAACCTGCATTAAAGACCAACTCCGAATAAAGAGTAAAATTCTCCTTGTAAATAAAGACCACCCTCTGATAATCCTATATTGATCAACAAAAAACTAAAGTAACCTCCAAATAAAGTCCACTTGTATATAAATGCCATGTTCGGTTTCTCCTGTGGATGACCTTTGTTCACAGGTTTAACTGTATTACCAAGGTATTACATAAACCAATCTGAATCCCCATATTTCACAGCCATAATCAAATTAAACATAATTTTCTTCTTACCAGTTGTTTTAGTTCAATTTCATTATGCTCTCAGTCCATACCAAAGAATCCAAAATACTTTCCAACAAAATATCCTCTTAACCTTTTTAAACTCTCATTTGAAATATATTACTCATTAAACCTTTCACTTGTTTCCATACTAAACAAACAGTTTTACAGTTTTTTTTTGGATAAATAATATAGCATTTCAAATGCATCTCAAACTACAATGTATATTTTTATTAATAAATACAGTTTCCCTGATTTACAATTAACTTTTTTTCAGAGAATCCTCCTCCTGTTGTTTCCAAAATCTATGTTGTTTTAAAAAATCTGTTTTACGTTGTTTTACAACTGAGTCAACATTTAGCCATAATATTGTTTCCTGAATGTGTTAAGTCTCATATTGCTTTCCCCAAATATATTTGTTAAGTTCCCATTTAAAAAAAGTGTATTTACTAGTGTTGTTGTAACCACATCAAAGCAACTATCAGATATTGTTTTCTTACTACATAACAAAATTATGTTTCTAAAAAAAATATTGTTCTTTCACATTGTTCTTTTCACCAAACAATTTTAATCGATCACTAACATCTAATTTCAAGCAACATCCCCCGTTGTTTCCCAAACATATTCATAACAATATTCCTGATTCTATGTTAACATACAATGGGCCCTTACATTGTATCAACATAATTATGTAACAATCCTATCATTGTTACAATGCGCCTACATTGATTACAATGGCCTTACATTGTTCACAATGCCTTAACATCAAAATTTACTAAGAAATTTTAACAACGCATGATTCAAACTCTAGGTTTTCATGATTCTGGACTCATTTATGTTAGGGACCAATGTCTAATCCTTCGGGTTATTAGAGATTCACGAAGGCCAGCGGTGGCCTCTGGGGGAAAATGGCCATCGGTTTTAACGGGTTCTTGCACCGGCCTGTGGGTGTGTTAGGTAAAATTGCTGGATTTATTGGACGTCGGCATTGGCCTACTTGGTTTGATCAAAAGTTCCTTCTGTCCAATCGCACTGTTAGGTTCTTGCAGAATCGCGATTTCTTACTGCTATAAATGTTTTTTGGTGCATCGAACATTTTTTGAACTCTTCGAACTTTTATTACTCATCTCCATGAAATAATGTTTTATTTCTGTAATAGTAACAGAAAGGCACGATTAGTAAAGCAGGAGTGTCATAATTATATTAACTATTTAAAGGAGCTGCACTGAGGTCCAAAAGCATAAAAACATAAAATTCAAATTTCTTGTTGTTGATCAACTGGCACACTTGAAATGAAAAAAAAAAGCAAAAATATAGAAAAAGAATTAGCTAGAATTATTTTTTCTAAGAACTAATTTTTGTGTGACTTATTCTTTAGCCTGATTTCAGTTGAAGGGATTAAAAACAGTTTTCAATTCTGTTATCATTTTTTTGAACAATGAGAGTGTGTCTATAAAGCTTTAAAGCTTCCTTACACAATCAAACTTAAAATACTTAACTATGTTACCATTAACCCAACAAGATAGACCTTTAGGGGAGGACCCCCGAAAAATTTTGGATAAAACTTTGGGGGCCCAAACCCTTTTGGGAATGTACATTTATTTTAAAGCTTAAGATAAAAGATGTTAAAAATTTTGTTTTTTTTAAACTTACAAAAAATTTCAATTTAAAAAAATTTATTCCCTAAACCCCAAAAAATTTTGTAAAAACCAAGTTTTAAAATTTCCACAACCCCGTTTCCCAAAAAATTTTTTTCTTAAAAATAAACTGGTTTTTAAAAAGAATATTGTAAAAGGGGCTTTCCCCCCGTTTATTTTTAAACTTTTTAAAAAAGGGGGTTTTAAAAAATAATTGTAAAAAATAATTTTTAAAAAAAAAAGAAAATTTTCCCCTTAAAAAAACAAACAGGAAGTTTAAAAATTAATTTTAAAAACATTTTTCCATGTTCCCTTTTTTTTCACTTTTTGGGCTTCCCCCCTTTTAAAAACCTTTTTAACTTCCCAATAAAAAGGGCGCCACCCCCCAAAAAGAAAAGGTTTGAGTTTTTCCCCTTTAGTGTTTTTTTAAACCCTAAAATTTTTGTAAATTTTTAAAAACAAAACAAAATTTTTAAAATTAAATAGCTAACCGGAATAAGGCACCTTCTTATTTTTTTAAATTTCCTGCCTTTATTTTAAAAAATTTCAAAAACTGTTAAAAATTTAAGAAACCCTTTTCAATAAAATTTTGGGGGGTCAAGGGATTTAAACCCTTTTTCCCCAAAAGGGAACAACTGAAAAACCTTTTTGAAAAAAGTAAAATTTTAAAAAAACCCTTTCCTTAAAAATAATTTTAACCCGCCACAAAAATTAAAAATTTTCAATTTTGGGAAAAGTTTTTAAAATTTAAAAAAGGGGAAAATTTTTAAAACCAGATTAAATCTTAACCCAATTTAATTTAACATTTAATGTTTGTTTAAAAATTTCCTTTTTTTATTTTTGTTTTAAATAAAATTTAAAAAAAAAACCCTTTCCCCAAACAAAATTTCCCCCCCCAAGGTTTTTTGATTTGGGGAAAAAATCTTTTTGCCTCTTGTTTTTGGGGGAACCTTTCCTTTAAAAAATCTTAATTTTTAATTCAAAACCCTTCAAATTTTAAAAATTTTATTTTATATTTTAAACCCCCAAAAAATAACCTTTAACCCTTAAAAATTAAAAACATTTAAAAGGGTTTTCCAAAAATTTTTAAAACTTTAAATTTTAAGAAATTTTGGGAAAAAAAAACTTTTGTGTAAATTTAAAAACCCCCCGGAAAAATTTTAAAGGGGGGTTTTGGAATTTTGACCTTTCAATTTTTTAAAAAAAGACCCCGGCCACAAATTAAAAATGGGGGCCCCACATTGTTAATTTTTATTTTGGCCCAATTAAAAAATTTTTAAATTTGGGTTTTTTTTTTAAGGGGGGCCAAAAATGGAAACCAAAAAAACCAAAAAAACAAAAGAATTTTGACCCCCAACCCCAAATTTTTTTTTTGGGGTTTAAAAAAACTTTGAAAAGCTTTTATCCCTTTTTAATTTTAAATTTTTTTTTTAATTTTTCATTTTTGGCCTTTTTTTAAAATTTTACAATAACAAATTTTTAAAACCCTTCCTTCCCGGATTAAAAAATTAAAAATTACCTTTGCTGCAAACCTAACCAAAAAACCCCCCGGGGCCCCAATTAAGAAAATAATTTTATTAAAACATCGGCTTTCCCCTGACCCCTACCGGGGGCAATAAATTCATTTAAGTAACTTTCCAAAAACAATATTAAATTCAAAAAAAGGTAAGTAAATCAAACAAAAAGACAAATCCAATTCCTTTTGGCTTTTTCTTTCCTATTATTCTTTTTATCCTGTAATAAGAAAAGATGATGTGCATCAACTAATTAATTATTTATTTAATGGTGCAACAAAAGTTAAAAGCATGAAAATGACACCTGAATAGAACCACCAACGTTTCATAAGCTACCTGGATAGCTACCTCACTTCCTCCCTAAACCCACAGTGGTGAGGGGCCACTTCTATTTTCATTTGTCAAATTCTACTTACTTTTGGGATACTTTATTAGATTCCAAAAAATACTCATTGGCCATCTTTTTCTTCTGTTCCATTTAAGCAATGAGTACAGTAATAGTGATTTAGTATTTTGTATGGAAGTCAAAATACTTCTTTGTTTACATTTTGCTACTTTTATGACAAATAATTTTACATTCAGCTCATGTTCTTAGTTATAAGCATCTAACATACATAAAACCATTAAACATTAAAAAACTCAGGTTTTCCCTCTCTAAAGGACGTAAAAATATATTTATTTCTGGGGCATTATGTGTCTTTAATGTTGTAAAATTCATAACAAATTTACATACATTTAATAAGCAACAAATACAATTCTTTCTTTTTTTGTTCTTTCTTTCTTTGTATCTTTTTTTTTTAATTACTGCTACTTTAGAATTTAAACGACACTTATAAAAATTATGTTTGTCCTTTTTTTTAAGAAGTAAAAATAAATATTGTGTTTCTGAGGCATAATCATAATGAGCCTTTAAATAAAAGTATACTTACAATAAAACTAATGGTACAGCTAGCTGGTATCCATATCAACAAAGATAATACTATAACAGTACCCACTATATTACTTCTCATAAACTCCACTGAAATATAGAAAATATCATTCTATATATGTGAAAAATTTCCTAAATTTTCATAACAATTTAACAATGATAGATGTTGTACTTTTTTTCTATACTATACAGTCCTATTCAATATAACATCTTTAGAATGTTTTATGCCCATTTTAATGCCTTTTTAGCTATAAATATCTTGAGAGTCTGTCAACCAGCATGCTTTCCTTAATTAAGTGCCGAGGAATCACTCTTGCAATTGGTTTACCATGCAATTTCTACAGATCTTTATAATAGTATTAATTCTTCCTAACACCTAAAACACATTTTTAAGTTAAATTGTTACTTACCTAATTGATCGATGGATATATCTTCTATAATGTTAAACAACCGAAGAATCATATCCCTCTTTACCTTCTCACACCGACCCTATGATCAAAATAAAGGAACAATTCATTACATTTGTATATCCTGTATATGTAATTATGATTATTTCATTTTTTTTTTACTATAATATCCTAACTCAGGTCCTATGATTAAGGAATGATTCATAACAATCTGACAAAACTCAATAGGAATTTTTTGTTTGATTTGGTTTTATGTCACAGCAACACAGTATAGGTCATATGGTGACTTTCCAGCTTTACTGGTGGAAAAGATCTTATGTGCCCTTCCGTTCATTATTTCAGGTACGAACGGGCACCTGAATAGAACCACTGACCTTTTGTAAGCTAGTGTCCCTGTTGGTACCACAGTATAAAGAAACAAGTGGTTTGAAGTCAAGGACCTTAACCACTTGACACCCTCCCAATAGGATTCTGACAAATGTTTATATTATCTTACAAAACAGATTCTGACAAAAAACAAATAGATTGTGATAAAAATCAAAGAGATTCTGGCAAAAGTTAAAAATCGATGTAGACCTCTTAACACCTCATAAACAATTCTAGTAAACTATCTAATTCTGACGATGATAGCCTAGTTATTATAAAGAAAATAGATGATTTGTTTGTTTTGGTTTTAAGGCCAATTTAAAAACAGTTTTGGTCACATTTCATCAGTCTATCTAACTGGATTACATGGATAACTCGGTAGTAAGTGACCGACTGCTAATCTTACTTCATCACTGAATCAGCCATGGGAGATAAATGACCATTTGAGCCGTGTCACGACAAAACCAACATAGTGTGTTTGAGACCAGCATGGATCCAGACCAGCCTGCGCATCCGCGCAGTCTGATCAGGATCCATGCTGTTCGCTTACCAACTCTATTACAAGTAGAGAAACTGATAGCGAACAGCATGGATCCTGATCAGACTGCACGGATGCACAGGCTGGTCTGGATCCATGCTGGTCGCAAAGCCATTATGTTGGTTTTGTCGTGACACGGCTCATTTGACTTAATGTCCGAAGATAATGACCAGTCATTTCTATGTTTTTGTCACAAACAGTGACCCATATATATTTAACCAAAGACCAAGGAATAAAGTACAGTATTTTTCCCGCCTATATGACTGATTGCTTTAAAGACGGGGGTCCTTATTTGCCAAAAAATGGCACCTTTTGCTAAGAGGCTCTTATAATATAAGAGGAATATAATTTTTTAAAGGAAAAATACTACTGCACCTCAGATTTTTATTGAAAATGGTACATATTTTCAGTAATTTGTTGTCTAGAAAATACTTACGAGCGCATATGCAATCACCTTAAACTTGATTTTTTTTACATTGGACAAGCATTTTATTGAATACCAAGACTACCAAGAATTATTTCAATGTTATGGCTATGGAATATTTTTGTATTACAAAGTGAATTTGGAGTTTACATAAAAATAAATTGAAAAAAAAAAAAAAAATACCTGGTTACAAAGTCCTTGGTAACACGGTCTTTTATCTGGGAGAAACGTGTCATTAATTTGTACACACTCGCTCATCTGATATTTGTGACGGCAACATCTATAGCACGCAAATTCTTCTAAAAAATACATGTAAAACATAATATCATTGATAATTGTAGCTGTGAGATTTGATAAAACTTCAGTTTTTAGATCAATTTCTGTCATTCAAGTATAAATTACAACTAAATACAAATGTATGAAACATTGGTTGAGAATAAAAATAAACAAGAGCTGTCACAGAAGACACCGAAGCTTGACAAATAAAATACTGGACGCAGTAAGAAAGACAAAACTATGAAAGAAACATCAATTATGTATAATTATGTATTAAGGTGACAACAGACACTTTCCGTGGTAATCACATAAATGTCATTTAAACCAACTTATTTTAGTAATAATTGTTATTTATTTAATCTTTGTGCATTAAATGTCGTTGATCATCATAAAAAATAACATATTTGAAAAAAATGTCTTTGTAAATGATTGATTTTTAATAAAAATCCTAAAATTTTAAATCGCCATATCAAAGTCATTTTTTATTTTTTTGTCATCAAACTTTTGGAAAATAAACATACTTATAATATCTGGGGAACCGTATCTCAAATTTTGTCTATCTTTTCTCAAAAAAATATTACGTAACGTCAAACATTTTATGCGACTTTTTTCACCATACATATTTCGTAATTAAAGTTAATTAAGTCGCTGATTGAGCAAACAAAAATCCCTGACACGGTTCCCTCCGTAAATGAATTCCCTTTCATGTGCTTTAAACCGCATGTTAATTGCTTGATTATTAAAAAAGTTATGCCGATTCAAAGTTAGTCCGATCCGCATCAAACGAAGTGTCATAAATTGGCTGTTCTTTCTCGGACCCCTACGTTTCACGCTAAATAATTACATAATACACAAATATCGCACCAGAGAGGGTCACAAGTTGCGGTAACATAAACTAACAACATTTTATGACCCAGTGACATCTGACCAATTAAAAATTTGCTGATTAATATCAGTTTATAACAGAAATTTCTTCACATCTTAACGTGATTTACCGTTAGTCTGGTATCGGTTGCACATATCACGTGACTTTCGGTAAAATTTGAGGCACTCGGTGGGGGGGAAATGGGACGTATTTGTGCACCGCTAGCGGGGTATTTAATTGTTTCACATTTGAAGTTTATTATTATTATCATCAGCATTATTATTATATTATACCAGTGTCACTCTATCTGTGTACTCGTGTATGAAATTCCGTTAAAATATAAATTAAAATAACAAAAAACTGAGCTTCTGACAGTATTTTAAAGTCCATGGTAGATGTACAAATAAGAACGGGATTTTATATATTTTTTCCTCCAAATTGATATAAATGCTTCACATATTTTAATAGAAATAAGAGGTATCACTCGATCATTATGATCTGACCTTCTTGACTTCTATTATCATGAAAATCATCTATGCACGGCATAGAGATCCAGTTTCTACTGGGATATACAATAAATTCCAAACTTTCTCCCAGGTTTATTAGTACTGTGTTCGATTTACTAGCGAACAATTTATTCAAAGCATTCACTGATAATTTATTTTATTATCTTTTTTTATTGATTCATAGAGAAATAATCATCCTTAGACAACCTAAAATGGTTTAGAAATTTGTCAGGGAGACCTTACCACAAGTCATATAGGCGTTCACATAAAAAATGTTGTCTGTTTTTGTTGTTGTTTTACTTGACATTGTTAGAAAACGAGGTTGAATATGTAAAGCAAGCCCTTGAATCCGTACAAAAGTCCATAAACTCAATGTAATATCTATCAGATTAACGGGACAGACAAATTATTTTCACACATTATGAATATATAAGCAACTATATTTTTAATCAACCCCGTGGTCGTGCGATTTGTTGCTATGCTTAATTATTTATGTTTCATACATTATGTTACGTACATTGGCCGACAATTTCTTATTTTATAAAAAAGGCTAAATAAAAGGTAGACGATATTCATAAAAGATGTACGGTATTTGTACGATACATGAATTACGAGTAGTATGGACCAGTATGGACCGGTAATTCACGCATATATGGAACTACCGATTTCCCTCATTGATGCCTCAACAGGGGGCGGAGCGTTATCGATAATTGACAGGTTACGCGATAGCAGATAAAAATAGTACAGGTACCGTTTTAAAACGTTTAAAAACACATTTTTTGGACTAACTGCTTCCAAAATTAAATCACGAATGTGTTCAGAAAAGGTTGAAAAATATACTAAGCAAAAAATCTCATTTTAGGTATTTTCAGTGATAATTGACTCCGTTGTCACCTTAAGTTATAGTAAAAAAATAACATTTGTTAACATAAATTCCAAATTCAAGGCGGAATAATTCTGGAAATAGTCATGCTAGAGTTATGAACCTTGTCACACAACATGTATAATAAGAAATATATATTTGAAGTTTGAAGTAGATACCTTAAAATGTAAAGAAGTTATCATATTTCTTAAAGAAAATCCTAAGTTCAAAGAGAGATAAATCTGAAAATATAGCTTCAAGAGTTATGAACCTTGTGACATAAGAGGTAATTGATGATAAAGAATAAGTATTTGAAGTTTTAGGTAGATACCTTTAAAACTAAAGAAGTTATCGTAAAAAAGAACATTTTTCAATTAAAAAAATCTCAGTTAACCGGGAGATTATTCTTGCAATAACTATTGGTGTTAGAGTTATGAACTTTGTCACATAACATGTGGTTAATGATAAGGAACATATATTTGAAGTATGAAGTTGATCCCTTCAGAATAAATAAGTAACAGTAAAACAGAATATTTTTTAAGGAAAATTCTGTAAGTTCAAGGGGAGATAAATCTGAAAAATATTGGTGCAAGAGTTATGAACCTTGTCACATGAGATGTGGTTGATAATAAAGAACATACATGTATATTTAAAGTTTGAAGTTTACACCATTAGAAATGAAAAAGTTATAGTGAAAAATATTTATCTGCACCAAAACTTTAATCTGAACGCAGACACCAGGGCGAATAGGACAGCTCTCCATATACGTGGGTTGTCCCAATATTTTGTGACAAGATTGTTTTAAAGCAGAATAAAATAGGTACGAATTTGATATTTTAATATATTATAAACCCATACAATTGAAACTTTTTCATAAATTTACATAGAAAAATATCAACAAACATATACCATAAACACCATGGCAACTAACTGAATCGCGGCACACATCAAACGTCAAAGACAGCGTGAAATCTATATAAGGCGCCTTTCTCAAATACTCACAATGGCTTTCAACGCATAATGTTACCCATAAATCATCAATTACAGACTTAAATCATGTGGTTGTTAATGTCTGTGGAATGTTTGGATGCCATTCACTAATTCTTTGCTTTACGCGAATTCCGGTCTCGTTGCACCTGCTTTTAGCTGCAGGAAATAGGCATCGAAGATCGGTCTTCCTATCCGTGCTTTCCTTATTTTGGTTTTTTGTAGCGCAAAACTATGGTTCCGTTCATGCCTTTAGTAAACAAATGCTCAGGATATGTTGCTAAACTGTTCTATTTGGTATATTTGTTGAAAATCATAACATGTGTCATCTCGAAATAGTCATGAAACCTGAGTGACCTGTTCACTGCGCCGCAAATTCTTCTAACGTTGCCATTTTAATTTTCCTATTTTACATGAGATATTTTCATTTATTCGTATCTTTTTCGTTATTTAACTAAAATTTTCTGAGATGATGTAAACATAGCAGTAGAGAAAGTCAACGTGACATTGTGCAGACACATCATCAGATATTTGAAATATAGGTAATTAATTTTAGCCTATTCATAGCAAAATGCAAATTATTTGACGTGTGCCGGGAACTCAAACCAATGTCGTTAATACTGAAAATTTCTTATTAACTAGAGTGAAATTTTTGTAAATGATTTGTTGTTATGTGAAAGAATAAACTTAACGATTATATGTGTGAATTATTTTCTATTGGCGTTAAAATGAACCGTCTATAAAATTTGTCACAGACTTTTGGGACAACCCTCGTACTTTGTATTGTCAAGCTGATTACGCATAATCACCAAATTTCTGATAGTTTTGTTTTTCAATATTTTCAACAAAAAGGAATAAGTAAGACACAATGAGGATGCCTGTATTTGAATTATCAATATACATGTATTACATTATAAAATACAAATTTTTTAAGTAATAGCTAACTAGAAATTAAAGCAAAGTCTGAAAAGGCGGCCAATTCATCAGAAACTTAAAACATTACTATTCATTGGACTGTCTGATGGCTGGCCTGACATGCAAGGCATCTAGGGAAATGAGCCGCGTCACGACAAAACCAACGTAATTCGTTTGCGACCAGCATGGATCCAGACCAGCCTGTGCATCTGCGCAGTCTGATCAGGATCCATGCTGTTTGCTATCAGTTTCTCTACTTTTTACTCTTAATAGGGTTTGTAAGCGAACAGCATGGATCCTGATCAGACTGCGAGGATGTGCAGGCTGGTCTGGATCCATGCTGGTCACAAACACATTACGTTGGTTTTGTCGTGACGCGGCTCAAATAATTAAGGCTTAAAATCTAAAAATTAATTTGGTAGCACAACCCTTAACTAAGTTGCAAAAGGGGCATCATTCTGTAAAAATGCTTAATAGAGTTACCTCCTCCTATGAATAATTTCTAAGTCAAAAGGGCGCATGATGGTGAACAAGTGTGCAAAGTTTCAAAGCCATATGTCAATAACTTGGAAAATATTTTAGGTGGTAAACAAATTTAAAATAAATGGTTACACCACTGATGCTCGGGGGACTAAGATAGCTCTCCTTATTCTTCGAAACAAAGGTGCTGCATGTTGTGTTAACACTCATCTGTTGAAAAGGAGTAGATTCTATAACTCAAAAAATATGACTTTCAGAATTACCCCCATTGTCTTAACAACTGCACCTTGTCATGATAAGCAAGTATGCACCTCGTCATGATAAGCAAGTATGCACCTTGTCATGATAAGCAAGTATGCACCTTGTCATGATAAGCAAGTATGCACCTCGTCATGATAAGCAAGTATGCACCTTGTCATGATAAGCAAGTATTCCAAGTTACATATTGATAACTTCTAAAATGCTTGAATAATGGGCTACAAATGAGCCACATAATGACAAAAACAAGATAATTGGTTTGCGACCAGCATGAGTCCAGATCAGCCTGCGCCTCCGCGCAGTCTGATCAGGATCCATGCTGTTCGCTATCAGTTTCTCTATTTGTAATAGAGTTGATAAGCGAACAGCATGGATCCTGATCAGACTGCAGGGATGCGCAGGCTGGTCTGGATCCATGCTGGTCGCAAACCCACTGTGTTGGTTTTGTCGTGACGCAGCTCAAATTATATTTAAGATGACAACACAGCAACAGAAAAGCTAATAATACTGAACATACCCTTTCCACATATACACGGAGTATAATCCTTATTATATCTTTCACAAAAATTCTGACATATGCCGTTTTTACATTTTCCTCTGAAAAAGAAAACAATGTATTGATACAGTACCATTACATAAATTTAGATGAGTAAGGTCAAAATTATCACAACTGTTTCAGTTCAATGTTGACTATTTTCAATGATGAATAATTGTTCATATTTACCATTGTACCACTCATTATACAACTGCATGTTTGTAACGTAGCTTTTCACTGAATATTCATGATGTTTACGTAGTCCATACGCAGGGCTGCCGTCAATTTATTGAGTATATTTCGTTTTTCCTCAAATAGAGTGATTCTGCTGTTTTATAAATTCATTATAACGATTCTAATAGTTGCTTTGCAATAAAACCCTCACAAAAACCTAGTGGTTTGGGTTATATATACAAATAATCATTTATATAGGGCCATATAACCTGTCAAAATCTTTTTC